ATGATATAAATTCAAATGATTTATATGCATTCTGAGTTATAATATGGATGAAATGTAATGCTGTTAAGTGAACTTAGCGCCAGAGTGTCACTATGGTAAACAAATACAGTGAATTTTAGTGCATTCATTCTATTGTGGTTTATGCGGTATCAATGATGCAGATTTAATTCAATCCTATAAGTTTAAATGAAATGCAAGAAAAAATAAGTATAATTTAATATTCCATGCAAGGAAGTCATATGGTGTACATATCAGATTTTTTTCAGATGCAATCATCCACATATTGAGCACATCAATGACTGAGGAGTTAAAAGCTATGAAATATTGGTAATATGTAGCCTTTTTAAAGTCCCCCACAAAACTCTATTTGGATAGAAACTCTTGTCCTCTCCGACATAATTAATTTTATTGATCAACACTTCCATATTGGTTAGGTTAGGCAATTTGAACATGGCGAAGCACATGAAGACTATTTCACTAAAGGATGTGATGCATTCATGGAAGAAATTTTACAAGAAACGTGTGCATATTCACGTTACACATGGGGATAACCAACTACGAAGGTACCCAAGTTCAACTGCTAGTATTTAGCAGTCTAGACCGGGGGTTCTCAACTGGTGGTACGCCAAGGCTAAAACAGGTGGCACGCAAAGTATTTTTTAACTATTAAATTCAAAAATTAAAAAACCCAACTTACTGATTGAGTTTTTTCTCTAATACTCGTAAATTTATGCTATTTGAGCTTTGTTCAAGAGTGGTGGTTTTACTTTTCAGTTTTTGTTTAGATGATACGTGTTCGTCAAAACGTTGATAACCGCTGGTCTAAACCACTCAGCCACTTTCATGTTGGACCTTTTAAGAGATGCTATACTGTATTCATTGTTATTTATAATTATTTGTGCACAGTTCTCCTTTTTCTCAATTTGAGGCCCTGGGAAGGGCCTTTTTTTAAAGAAAAACTGGGGTATTATCAATACCATAAAGATCATCAACTGAAGAATCTGAACCACCCTACTCACCAGTGTTAAATTTCATGTACTCAACAATGTTCTCCAACAAAAAATGTAATTTTCACATTTTCTATTCTTTCATTACATGCCTCATGCACCATTGCATATGAATTACCAAATCTATACCTTTCTCAATCAATTTACAGAACACACCCTTTTTAAAAGTTCTCTTTACAGATGCTACAGATCTTTTCACATTACTTCATATGATTTCAAATGGGTTGCAATAATATGGTAGTAAACAGAGCGTAGTATTATGTCTTTTCACATTATTTCATACGATTTCAAATAGGTTGCAATAATATGGTAGTAAACAGAGCATAGTAAGTCTGTGCTCTGGAGCTATAGCATCAACACAATGCAATTTAAATTGTCTTCAGACCTTAGAAAGAAGAACTAAGGAGTTCTGTTCTCAACATAGTTAGCTTCCCAAGGTATATTTCACCAGTCAACAGAAACCAAATGTCTACTTTTGCTGTACTTGGATGATAGCATGCTTTATCCAATACAATGTTAGGTTGTAAGTTAAGTAGTATTTTTACAAACTTATTTTCCTAATTTTCTGCCTTCATTTCCCTGTGATAATTTTTTTCTTAAAGCTTCGTATATATTGCATGCTTGAAGAATAAAGGAGCACAAACAACAACACACCGTAAATCTTTTCTTGAGAGAGCAACAAAACATACTAAAGGCCACTCAAAAATGTTCTCTCAGCATTTTTATTGTCATATCCTATCAAATTTCAGTTTCAGAAAAGATAAAATTTATCCAGGTTTTATCGGTATAGTATAATTTTCCTATTCAGTGATTACTTTTTTAAATGTTTTAGATAACAGCTTCTCCAGCATTGAATATTGTTATGTTATCAAAACTGACTGCCTTTTTTCTTTTCTTTTTACATGCACACCTTAAACCACTCATCATCTGTCTAACTGTGCGAATGGACATATTTGGAAAAAAAAAATGAGCTTCATCATCTATAACTTTTACAGGCAGGAATTTTCTTCCATTAAAGAAACCATGAACTTTCCTTGCACTATTGCTAAAGTTAGCTCATCAAGTTGTTTGATTAGGGTTGTACCGACTTTCAGAGGTCGTCGTTTTCTCAGAGAAGAAAATCCACCATTTTTTAGTTCTCATTGCATGTAATTTCTGCTTGTCAGAGAAACGCTATTCAAATCAGTACCAAAAGTTACAATTTGTTTATTGTATTTATTGGGAAAATGCTAGTCATAATGAGAATCTTAGTGGAAGTACATAGTGGTTTTCTAGACCAGCGGTCGCCAACCGGTGGTCCATGAAAGGTTTTTGATGGTCCGCTGAAAAATTGGGACATTATTTATATTTTTATGAAGATTCAGTTTAAAAATGACGAGTAACAAAACCTATTGTAGAATACGGATTATACTTTTTTTTTTTTTTTTTTTTTAAAATTCTAGTTACTAGTTTTAGCGAAATTCCTTTTGAATTTAGCGACTTTTGCAGGTGTATATAATGACACTTGAAAGCGAGAGTTGGTATCCACGGATATGCTGCTGTTATCAATAAAAGCATTGGAATAATTGGAATTCGCTTTCCTTTTGAATTACAAACATATGCTATTATAGTCGTTAATAACAGTTTTTCTACTTGTCAATATGCAAACTTGATGGACTTTTATGAGAACCATCTGCATTCTTGTTTATAATTGCGTAACTGCAAGTTTCCGTTTTAGTTTTGTCTAACTGTTGATGGATGGCACCATTGCTGAGTAAACGATGATTATTATATCTATAATAATTAAAACTTCGCCACATAACACTATCAGTTCCTTGATATTGCTTTCTGTACAAGAAGGAAAGATTTTTGTACTTTTCATATAATTTTCCAATGTGAAGGAAATGTGTAGTTTTTCGTATTATTATTGAATAAATGTATTTAACTTCCTTTAATTCATATTACTGGTCTGCCACATATACAACTATATATGTAGTGGTCCGCGAAGTTCTAAGGGTTGACAACCACTGTTCTAGACTGATGAGACTGAAAATTATATACATACATCGAAGATAAAGCAGATGCCATAGTAGGGTGGGGGGGGGGGGGGGGGGGGGGGGGGGGGGGGGGGGGGGGGGGGGGGTGGGGGGGGGGGGGGGGGGCGGGGGGGCTGTTTTCTCCTCCTTACGGTCAATAAATGAATTAATGCCTTGCTTTTTACTTCCTTGTACGAACTAAAAAAGGAAGTATAGTAATCGCGAAAAGTTTCAGGCAGCATATTTCAACGAAAAAATCCATTTTGACTATCTAATGCAATTTAACAATGTTTTTGCGTAATATCTGCACCTAAGGACAGGATAAAAGACTCATTTCCTCCAAAAAAATTATAAAACTGATTTAAAATTAATTCTGAAGAGAATTTTTCGTGGCGTCTGTACGTATATAGGACTGCTATAACATGTAGATGTGCACCTCATATTTTGGTTACAATCGGCCGCACCAAGAGTATATAAATATATTTATATGTAGGCAATATTTTTAGAATTATCAACAATTTTAAAGTTGTTTAAATGCTGCTAAGCCTTTTTTATGATGCGGCCATTGATTGTTTACTTTGAAACCAACAGACTAGTGGATTTGTTGCCAATCTAAGAGAAACTTAGCTTCGCAACAACAACATAAACGCCTTCATTTATTATTGCCAATTAAATCATGCTTAATCCTTTCTGGAATTTTTTCGAGGAAATAAGTGTTTAAGATTTATTTCGTAATTTTTAATATAGATATTTTGAGTTTTTACGTATTTTTGTCTTCTCGTGAAGTGAGAACTGAATTAATTGAATGAGAAATTCTCAATCGTCTGTGAAAAACTGTTTCTTTTTTGTTTTGTTTATTTTTTTAATACATCATTCTAGCTTTATTATAGTATTTGAATAGAACATGTGGCAACGATTAGATAATTCTAGTCTTTAAATGATATAAATTTTCTGCATTATGAGTTATAATATGAATGAAATGTAATACTGTTAAGTGATCTAGACCAGAGTGTCGCTATGAAACAAATACGATAAGACAAATACTAGAGTGAATTTTAAAGAATGCATTTATTCTATTGTGATTATGCGCTGTCGGCGAAGTAGATTTAATTCAATCCAATAAGTTTAAATGAAATGCAAGAAAAAATGTGTATAATTTATTATTCCGTACAAGGAAGTCAAGTGGTGTACACATCAGATTTTTTCAGTGAAGAGTGGGTGAGGTCAGGGTTACTGAGTTAGCAGTTTTCCCAATGACTTCTAATGCCTTCCTACTGATCATTGAATGACTGACGTATATTGGCAACCTTTAGTGAAAAATTAAATACATTGTCACGCATATTTTTTATTCAATTATCTTTCCTCAACAATATATTTCATAGCATAATTTTTACAATACAGCTTCTAAGAAATGATAGAACTATATTCTACAGCTGACACATATACTTTCCACTAAATCCAACGTTCTTAACTTAGCTTGACCACTAGCATAAACAATTAATTCAAAGGCTTTTAGAGGTTTCCGTCGATCTTAAAACACCAGAAGTAAACTTCATGTACTACTTAATATCTTAATGGATATAAAAGCATTCCTATTTATACAAGTTAATCCCACCAATAGCATGACCACCTTCATCAACAGATCTTTTGTCACTTAATATATATTAGATTACAATTTAAGATACTTTGTTTCCTTACTTTCTGCAATGATATAAATATCTTAATGAATGGAAGTTTATGACAGCACAGACTGAAATAAGTAGTTATACTAAATTAATAAATGCTATATAAATACAGTTCTTCAGGAGCAGATCTCAAAAGTAGTGTAACTCAAAAGGTAAAAAGGAAATATAATACTTTAAACAATTTTAAGAGAAATTTGTATTGTAAAAAATTCAATTGGACTAATTAATAAAGGCTATTTTTAACAGTAATAACACAATACATACAATACAGTATAAAATTCAAGAATACATACAATGTGATTCTAAATTAAGGAATGAAGAAGCTTTATTTGTACTGCATACTTGAGCAGTTGTTTGATTACGGTAACTGCCAGGATGGATGTTGGAGACATGGCCTAAAAAATGAAACAGAAAATAAATTCGATTTTATATAAACCACTCACATTATGGAAAAGATCTAAATACTCATTGAAAAACCTGGTAAATTTAATAACCACAAAAATTTAAAACAGAAAAATTCTGGGATTTACACGAACAGACAAAGGGATACACAGGTTAAGACCACAGCATGCACAATTTTTATATAACTTAAAAAACAAAAAAGTTGTAACAGTTAATCAGAATTTCTATCTTTAAATACCACTTTTGCTTACATAATATAATGCGCATCCACATGCTTTTATTTTAAACTAACACATTTTTACTTAATCAGTCAATATTCTGAAGCATATACAACTTTTTATTAGTACTGAAATTGAGATCAATTGCTTTTTAAAGTCATAAACAGTTGTGCCACTGTATCCTTTAATTCAATATTTATGTTTTAGAGCAGTAATGATAAAAAAAACTGTGGCAAGTTTTAAAGTGCAAGTGAAGTGACAATCAATATAACATTTCCAAAATATAGCAGCTCCAACACTCCCAGTACCGTCTTCATAGCATCCGCATGCGTGTTTCTATCCAATATAATTAAACATAGGAAACTAAGTTGTATTTTTTGATTACAAGAAACTCTAAATTCTTGAGCTCATGCCTCCACTAGCTCAGACATCAATTTTCAAAGAGTTTTGCTTAACTTTCTTTTGTATTAATATTCTTTTAATTTGCTTCCTCCCTTATTTTAAGCATTAGACTTTATAGTAGTTTTCTGGTTATTCTTCAATTATTTATAGCAATAACTGCTCCTAAAATGTATGCAAATAATTATGCTCCACATGTTAGGGAACTATTATCAACTATTAGTGCTAAGATTTTTACTTCTACTATCCTTTGAAACTTAATATTGTACTATCCAATACAAGAAAAAAAAAAGTCTAAAGAACAATTTTTTGTTTAAGTACAATATATAATGCAGTTGTGGACAAACTACTTACTCAATGAAATTTAACATAGGATACACCAATGTAGCACTCACTATTATTCCCGGTTTTATATACCCACAATGTCTTTGAAACGTATTACCTACACATATGGGGCCACTACAGATTATTTTTATGTAAACCATCCTCTTTTTTTTACAAACAAAGCTTTATAAAAATGATTCTGTTAGAAATTTATTTTTATCGATTACTGAAGAATGTTACTTATATAGATTATATAGTTTAATCTACCAAGATCAGACATCACAGATAAACAAAAGCACATATTATTTGACAATATCCATCAACTGATGCAAATAAAAACCAAGCAAATGGTTTGCATTAATTTAATTTGAAATTTTAGCATTTTAAAAATTTTTAAATCACATTGCTTGCATTTAAATAACCTGCAGTTTTCACCAATAGAAATGCTTAAAAAAAGTAAAATGCTCTAAATCCTATCTAAAATTATTCTATTTTCCAAAATTTATGGAAATTTTTTACATTTATATATACAGCAGATTCATTTCTCTTTTATAAAAACAATCCTAAATAATTAATTCAATTTTTATGGTTTTAAGCCCAAAGGGCCAATTTCCCCCAGAAAGGGTATAATTTCGTTGGTTCACTATAAACAGCACTTCACTTTTCAAATTGTTGCCACCAAATATTAGAACCCACATTATATTAAAAAAAAATTAAATAACAGTACCTAGAGACATCAAATTTTGAATAACATAGTCAGTCATACACTCAAATAAGGGCATCTGGAAGCTCAACTTGTACTTTGTTTTATTATCTATTTCATATTTTGTAAAATTTAATGAATTTTTGATTAACAAACCCCACAATTTCAAAGACAACACTAGTACTGGGGGGGGATTTTTATGCATCGGAAATTCTGATCCTGCTGCTGAGTTGAATTTTATGGTTAAGTGCGAAGAACACGATATTTAATAAATAAAGGTAACACACAAAAACGTTAGAAAAACACCCTTTTGGGCATAATATAAAATCTGAAAGGTTTCAGATTTTCTTTTCTCTCATTTCATACAGCATTATCATGCAAATTATTAACAATAAGATTAAGCTAAGCAGATGTCTAATACTGCATAATTATTTTTTCAGAAAATGTAAGTTTTTTTAAGTTAAAAAAATTAATCAGTAAAATGAAATACAGAAATTTTAGATACTCTTGTATAGCACACATCTAAAATTTAAAAAAAAAATGTAATGTTCATTAGTTTCTAAAAAATAATGTACAAATTCTAATAAAAATTCAATTAACGCATTTCTGAATGGAATAAAACTTTGTATCTAACACAAGAATTTTAAAACATACCTTGACCATGTAAGTGTATATACACAGTGGTGGTGAAACAAATTTTTGACATACTTATAAGTGAATTTCCATTTTTATAAAACACTGATTCATAAATTGCTAGTTCTAAAGAACTGTAACATTGGTTCTCAAAATATGTCTTGCAAAATATATTTTGCGGTTATATTCTGTTTAATTTCGATTTTTATTTATGGACAAAAATTGCATGTTTCTTAAAACCAATTTTTGTTTTTTTCCCTTTTCATTCTTCTGAAGAATGAAATTTTTTATACCTTCGGATCTCCTAAATGAAAGAAAAGAAATAGGTCAGTAGAAGAAATTTACTCACAACCTGCTTTGAAACACTGGCAAGTTGTTAAGTCTTGTGTCAAGAAGTCTGAGTGAAAGATCTTAGATCCATTCCCCAGTATAGTCTTCAACACTGGAATCAGGCTTTAGTTAGTGTGATAAGACTATAGCTGTATGACCAATTGTGAAATTCTTATATCCTGCCAACCTTTAATTGTACCTGCCTAATGTGGAGAAGCCTTTGAGAACTTCCTCTAAGAGAAACTGGCTCATATTCACATAATACGTGATAAAAATGATGAAAACTCTCATTCATTTAACTTGTCAGTTGTAATTTGAACTATTATAACTTAAGAGTTTCATTGTTTTCTTGCTGGTGGGCTATGAAAAAAGTTAGGAATCACTGAACCAGACACTTTAAATAAAATAAGTACACTGAATGTAGCATTACAATAAAGCTGATTGTTAAAGTGTTACAACAGCAATCACAGTAATGCTTTATATTTTATGTAGCACTATCGTACAAACTGTTAGCAAATAAGATTAGCTAAACAGGTGTCAATTAGTGCATAAGTACCTAGAAAATACATGGCTTTCTTCAGAATAAATTAAACAATAAATCTAAAGCAATAAAATGTAATACTTAAGGAATTTTGAATATTCTTGTTGTATGTGCTCACTTCTAATACTAATAAAATATTATTCATATTTATGTTTTAGAACAAAGAATTGCAAAAACCATAATAAAAAACCAGTTTTCTAGTAGTGTCTTTGAATGGCACACAGCCCATATTTAAACAATTTTAAAATATACCATAAAAGGCTTTGTAACATATAAGATTGAATAACACAATGTCTGTAAAATGTTGTAGCTTTTTGACACACTAAAGTGAGTTTCCATTTTTATAAAATGCTCACTTACACCTCCTGAATGGCATGACAGGCTTTATCTGCTCAAGTTTTGTGTCATCTACTATATATTAGCTTATAAATCAAAATTTTTGTTTTTCTACTTTTTTTATTAATTGGAAGTTTATGAGAAAGACTAAAATAAGTATTTCTACAAATTTAACTATTAAATGCTTGTTTAAACACGGGTCTTTGCGAACAGATCCAAAAAGCTGTGCCGTTCAGATGGTTAATAAACAAGTTTCCCAAAAAAGACACATTTTTTGGGGGGGGGGAGGGTATTAAAATTTAGGATTAGGAAAATTGGTGAAATTTTCTAAGCGTTTGGATCGCCAAGTGGGGGAAAGAAATGGTATTTAAGAAGTTTTTTGCAATGGGCATTTTATTCAGGAAAAGAAATAAGGCATATTGCCAACCTATGACACTCAAATCAGGAGATTTTTTTAAGAAAAATCAGGAGATTTTTCACATGTTAAAAAGACTTTTTAAATTATAAAAATATAGTTTAATAATGAATTCCTTACTAAATAGTTATTCCGTCTTAATGCACAAGCAACACAAAAATCCATTAGACCAAACATTTTTATTACTTACAATATGCAAAATCGTTGAAAAAAAAAAAAAGCGCTTAATAATCAGTTTCGTACAAATGTTATGAACAGTGGCAGATTTTGCTTTCTCAGAACTTCAAATGTTCATATCAATTGAACGTGGCCTGCTTTTAATAAAGTTTTTCTAATTTCATCACTAATATTAGATCTAAATTGAGTTCTTTTTCGCACAACTCTGAAAACTCCCTCTCCAACACTCCGCATTACTATGGAGAACTTTCAAGATGCCAACATAATTCTAGACAGTTCAATATTTTTTAAAATTCCATCACACCTTTCAGTTTTCAATTAAACTCCACTGGTTGTCAATCCTAGCTGATTTTATAACTCATCCAAGTTTTCTAAATTGTAAACTGCAAATTGCGACTGCAGTATATCGGGCACTTAATATCATCATCTTTCAGACTAAAAAGTACAAGGAAAAACAGTCCTTTATATTTAGAAAAAGATGCATTTGCTAGAGAAAATTCACAACTTTGCATCAAAATCACTAATGTGACGAAAAATTTTATGTTCAATATCACGAAGAAACTTTTAACTGAAGATAAAATTTTTTTTTTCTTCTGCTGACTTCTTCCCTACTTTTGTAGTAATTTTTTTTCTTATGATCTTTCAAAGAATTTACAAGTTCCCTGGTTTTGATTTCCAATTATAAGATCATTGTCATCCTTTTGATTTGCCAAACTATTATAGGCAACACGAATCAACACACTGTTTTTCACAACGGACGGTTTTACAAACTTAGTATAAAAGTTCTTTCAAAAGATCATTAAGAATTTGGATAAGCAGCAGGGGAGATTTTGGCGAAGCTGATTGTAGAAGGGTATTTACACTTTCAAAAAATCTTAATGGTACTTAACACAAAACTACAATATGCTTTGTTCAAA